CAAAAAATGTTTACCCTCCTATGCAGAAAATATATTTCAAAAATAGCCTCATGATCCAAAATATTAAAAGATGGGTCAAATTCTCTCACTTAACTTCCACACTATATTGATCTTACTCAGTTTTGGACGCGCTTTCGAATGGCTTAATCAGAATTTTGTTTCCAGTCACTCATACCTGAAATAGAGAGTCATACTGAAGAGTATGACACTTTTGGCTTAAAGTCGCGTTTTCACCCTAAGGAAAAAGCTTTTCAAAATTATTCTTTTATCAAAATGTAGTCCGCGGTCTCTTTTAGCTATTGATATAGTTTTCATATTTTGTCAGTGCTTATACAGCATAAAAAAATATTTTTATCAAACGTACAAATAATTTTGACCAAAAAAACATAGACCTCTCTAGTGTTATAACCATAAGTCTAGATGCAAAAGGCCTAGTGATTGTCAAATTTTACCATAGAGAACGTAGTCAACGGGCAATCTCGTGGTAGTTTCACAATTTAAAAAACACCTTGGTCACAGAATTATGAGCAAACACTGATCGTACAAATAATTTTGGTTGCCACTGTAAAATTTTAAATAAAAGAATAAACAAAATAAAATACGTCATACTTGTTGCAAGCAAACATATAAATCCCATGAAATTGATTCTTAACGGTCCATATTTGAATGTTTGACAAAATGTTGTGTAAATAATCAATAATAACACAGAGCTAAGTCAAAATAAATAAATATTAAAAGATTCTAGTTTTTTATTAATATCAATTTATATACTTATTTGCTACTGTTGAATATTGAACGAGTTGATTGACAATCACCGGAAAATAATATCTCAATATCTGACCAATACAAATTGGTATTAAAACCGTAAATAAAAGTGAATTGAGAACACTGAACAATGTAGATGAACCAGAAAATGTGCCAAACTAAACAGAAAATAAAAAAAACACAAAATAGTTTTATAACATGAATATAATGAATACGAAAAATCAACCTTAATATCCAACCATCATATAGAGAAGAACTGGTGTGATAATCGTACCCAATAAACTACCAACAGCTGAATTAAAAATAGCAATAGCCTTAAAAAAAGAAAAAATTATATACTTTAGAAATCTAATTAGAATAAATAGTGTTTTAATTTTCTTAAAATATTATCCGTTAACAATACATACTTCATTTCCTCCAATTGATTTTGTGATGAAAACGGCCGACGAAACGGGCGGTGGTAAACATCCAAGTACTTTTATACTGAAAAAAGAAAAGATAAAATAAATAATAATAAGGTTTGTACAGTACAGTACAGTACAGTTAAGATAATGTCCTACCCTGTTGCTAAATGATATTGATGTGTTAAAATTCGAAAGAGAAATGAAAATATTAGAAATATAACTGGACATAAAATGAATGTAAATCCTTGTATAATGAAATGTATTCGATAATTGGAAAAAGTTCGATAAAAATCCTAGAAATAGTGATAGAAATGCATGTTTTATCATTTATATATGGGCTATTTTTCATATTGTTAAATGTGACTGACTCTTTGAAGCTGCATAAATGAGGGCGTACATAATTGTTGTGTATCATCCATTCTTTAATTTACTAAGGGCGAATGATATAGTTGGCAAAAAATCCATTTCAGCTTTTAAATTGATCTAATTTCAACTCATTAATAATTTCATATCAACTCATTAATACTATTGGGAAGGTTGAGTCTCTAGTTTTGTTTCAGTATCGTTTTCTTCCGTAAAATGATATGTCATCTCCCACTAAATGATGATGCATGGAGCAATACTTATCAACTGCTAAGAAAAATGGCTACAATTCTATTATAAAAATGATACACATATAATCTGTTATTCACATTTTTACTCATCTTCCATTTACTGATCAGTATTTTGCTAAAAGTTATTTTACTCTAATTTGTTTTGCTCATATTCGAAGTATTCATGACTCTACGCACATCATCTACTTAGTCCGACAGTCTCTAAGGCTAGTGTCAGTCTTCAAATTTGAATCAATATGCTGCTTTACTTAGACGATTCTTTTGTACACTGAACTAAACTCTAATTTTTCAGCCTATAGATAGGAAAAAAAAAACGTTTGAATGAACCCTATCTGAAGTGATATCGAACATGCACAAACTGGACTGAAATATTTGAGTCCATAAGGAACTCTAATCTATAATAAATAAGAGACATACTCCACTTCGAATAGAACATCCATTAATTAGAAATATAATTATAATACCACCATATTTCACAGTTATATCTGGTTTTAAAGGCCCTAAAAAAAGATCAAATATAAATATTAGTTATTTAAATTAGTATAATCATTATGGACTACTGACCTTCATTTGAACCTAATTCCGGATATATCAGTGCTAATATAATCAAGATTAACACACCATATAAAAACCAATATTTTGCTAAATGTTGATTATTGAACGATTTCATTAATCATCTGCTAATAATAATGCAAAATAGTAAATATCGTATGTATAAAAATAGAACTACTAAGAGTAAACAGAAGAAGTAAAATATTATTTATAGAAAGTAAAGAGATTGCTAATTGTATCATATATGATCGGTGTCTCCATGATTAATGAGTATAAAGTATAGAACCTTATTTAAAACAAATGACTAAATAATTTACTGATCAAATTTGTCGACTATTTAATGTAGTATAAACTGCCACATTATGTTTAAAATGAAAATAGAAAAGCTGAAAATTTCTTACGAACAAGAAGAATATCCTGAAATATTTGAATATATGTTCAACTTTTACTTTCTACATTGAACGCATCGCAACTTTGTATCTAGTTTCGCTAAGGAATGCTGCACAGTTATAAGCGATCTTCTAGATATTTCTTGACATAACCATCAGAGTTCAAATATTCCGAGAATATTTCATTTCGTGTCTAATTCAAATCAAAACAGATATCTATTTTATTATTTAACAAAATATGGACACTGCAATGATGAGGCTATTTGATCAATGTCATTTAGACTTTTTTTATCTTCTCAAAGTCATTATATATGATGCAGCTACTAATGTAGTGAATATGAAAGAAAACAGAAATGCTAATCTTTTTTCAGACTATATGATCCTCTCTAGAGTATTGGATCAAAATTACATGAATACATTGTATTTTATTTGTTATGTTCAAAATGCGAACAATACATCACAAAAAAAGAAGAAGAAAACCCAGGAAAAGCAAGAGGAAATATTTTATTCTAATTCTGATCATGTCAATGTTTATTGATCGCAATAATATTGAAATCTTTATACATAATAATAATAATAATGATAATAATGCGGATCAGTATCATCGTCGATCATTGCATATCTTCTCGTTTTTTTTTTCATTTAAAATAAATGTAAGTAAATCGATTTTTCGTGTTTATAAAATTATTTTTGGAAAAAAACTCAGTCTCTAGTTTTGCTTGTTTCGAGGACTTGTTTGTCTTTGTCTTTTTTATTTAAAAATCAGTAGTATATATATGGTGCCATTTGTCTCTTCAATATAAAACTACAATATTGATTTTGAGTTGAGTTTAAACAATAAAGAGTATTCTGACTTTCTTTGACCTTATTGTTTTAATAATTTTAGTACAATCAGAACAGCTCCATGATCATAGATATGATGTAGTCTACATTTACTTTTTGATTTCGCTTCATTCTTCCAATCAAACGTCGTTCTCTCGATTTTTTTGAGGACAAAGTCTATCGAGAAGATTATAGCAACGATCAGTAAAAATAGAGCTGAAAAAAACTTCCACTAAATCTGCTTTTTTTCGTTGTCACAGCACTGAATCAACAGAATAAACGTAAGACAGTTATCTGAATGTTCAACAGAATGAACTAGACTTCTAGCAAACCATTAAAATATCAATAAACTTTGGTTTTTTACAAATAATGTACCGTTAAAAAGTCTGTCTATCAATCAATCTATATATAGATATTTATATAAATGAACTATTGTTTTGCTAACACAAACTTTCAACATATCTTTTTCTATTTTTTTTTCTTTTTTATGATTCGATTCATCTGTCCTCTATCGATATAATATCTGTTAGTTCACTGATGTAATCGAATTAATTTAGAAGAAACCACTTTAACGTATGTTGAGAAGAGATAAAGAAGATGAAATTGGAATAAAACAGACATAGACAAAATTCTTCTTTTTTTTTTTTACGGCTAGCAAATAACAAATTCAAGATGCTTTTTTTTTTCTCTTTTTATTTGATCAAGATTCACTGTATGTTTCGTATGAAAATCATTGCTATATATTATAACCCCCGAAGATCTTTGAAAAAGCCTTAAATTAGAATAACGAGAAAACGTATAAGATAAAAAAAAAGATAAATATTCTTATTTGTAAGTTATCCCTTATTGATTTGGACACTATTCACTTAGAACAATTAAATGAACAAAACCAGTATTGAATAGCATGAGCATTTATCTCACTATTTATAAAAAATAACAAAAAAACAGGAATGATATGGTTAAGAATGTCTGAAGTGAATAAATGTTTGTTAATACTACTCACACAATCGGAAATTATTAATTAGAAAAAAAAAACAATAGTCTCTCGTTTTAAGTTCACTCATAACAATGGAAGATGTAAGTCACTAATGATCATTATTATCAAATGAATATCTCTTGGCAAAAAAACAATGATCTATCAAGATTAATTTTAGAATTTTTTTACTTAATAGAATAAAATAATATCAGGCAAAAAAGGCGCAAAAGAAGAATTTAGCGCTTTCAATATCAGATTACGAAATAATTAGTGGCGTAGTTTTGCATGGTAGACTGTTGTTTTTTTCCAGAGAACAGACACCCACATACACATTGTCCAAAATATTCTTCGTATTTTTTTAATGCCATCAAAATTACTCTAAAATATTTATTTTTTCCTTTTATATTTTAAAAATCAATCTAAGGTAAATGTGAAATAATGTTTTTCTATGCTTCGTCAAAAATTCTCATTTAAATCTTCTGGAAAGTATCGCCATACGTTTAAGCTCTTATACGTCTGACCATACGTTGACCTTTTCTTACATTAACAATATATGCCATCATTCGGATAGCATTTTGACTAGCAAAATCCATGGTTAATCGGACACGTCACCGATCACTCACGACGAAGAAAATGTGAAGAATTTTTCAACAAATTGTTGTTTGTAGTACAACATGGAAAATGACAGAACAAAATTGTGAATGGAAAGTGTCAAGGACTCCGCTAAGATTGTATGTAAAATTCATCTATCTAAACCCCCCTACAGAATAGAAGCCCAGTCCGAAGGTTATAACTTTTCAGACATATTAGAAGCTCACTCTGTCCAAAATGACCACAAAATAGACAATTTAAAAAATTGGACAATTACCTCAGTGCTTCTTACTGTATTATTATAGCTGAGTTGATATGCCTAATTTTCCTTAGGCTACATACTTTTTGTCAACAGATAAGTGAATATCTGTCAAATATTAACAAATTTTTATGCGTATGTATTAATTGCCTAAGAACTATTAAACAGAAATTACGATATGTATGAATGTCATAGAAATAAAAAAACATCGAAAGAAAAAATATCGAAAGTATTATTAATGCACCTTTACATTCACTAATCATATGTAAATGCAAGACATAGATCCTTCTGCAGATTATTCACGCAGTGTTGATGAACGGGTGTACTGAGGCTGCATTAATAGCACTTTCGATATTTTTGCTTTCGACATTTTTACTTTTGGCGTTTTCTATTTCTACCTTTATACCATTCAAAATTACGCATGCAATAATATTGTTCTGTTAAGCTTCTTCCTCTTGTAAGATTATGTATAATTAACGAAATGTTGAGATTTTTTATTGACTTAGCAGCAATGCAAGCAAGTCTTTGATTGAAGGATGCG